GGGCTTCATGGGTTTTACCGGGTATGGTGACACTACATGGGTGTCTAACAGTTGCTGATAAAGCTCTTTGTAGGTTATCAGAATAGGGTCGAAATGTTCCCTTTCCTTCATGGGTTCTCTGGAATCTTGTTTAGAAATACCTGACGGTACAGGATTTTGGTCCGGAGATTGTAACACCTTTATTGACGTGTTTGATGTTGTTAATCTCTCCATCCCGCTCTCGCATAGGAAGTTTTCTACTGGCCTCCCCATCCTTATTTTTACCTTGCTTTACGGCCGACTCGATCATTTTTCTGGCCATAACTAAGTCTGAGAAGCTTCCTGCTGTGATCGCAACCAGGTGTCCGAAGTATGGAGCCTTCAAGGTCTGTACGAAGAGCTTCCGGGTTTTCTTTTCATCCAACGGTGGATGAACTTGCACAGCCAAGTCCCTCCATTTTTGTGCGTATTGCCTGAAACTCTCGTTATGCTTCTTTTCCATACTTTGTAGCATAACTCGATCTGGCCTTATGTCATTGATATGTTTGTGTTGTTCCAGAAATGACTTGGCCAGGTCCTTCCAGGTCTTGATATTTGATCGGCTTAACTGGTTGTACCACCGAATAGCTGAGCCCGACAGACTCTCTTGGAAGCAGTGGATTAGGAGTTGGTTGTTTCCTCCATATCCTGTCATCTTTCGACAGAACGTGGTGATGTGAGCGGATGGAAAACTGTTCCCGTCAAACTTCTCGAATTCCGGGGACTTAAATTTCGGAGGAAGAACCAAGTCCGGGACTAGACTGAGTTCTGCGGCATCGATTTCATAGTAGTCATGGTCTCCTTTGACTACCTTCATTTAGTCCTCCAATTGTTTGATTTTTTCCTCCATCTTCCTCGCTTTGTCCTCTTAGTCCAAATTCGGTACATAGTAATAACCCGAATTGTTCTTAGGGTTAAATACAGAGGACGAGGGCTTCACTTTTGCAGTAGACGAGTCCCCTCGAAGTTCTGGTAAGATTTCAGGTAAGATAACCACTTGCGGGGTAGGTTGTATAGTTACCCCTTTCGGTGAACCTGCCCCAGGCGCATTGGTCTGTTGTATGCCAACTAACTTGGTAACGATCTGATCAACCAAGGACTCTTGGTTCTTTGTGATTATTTCCAGAGTATTTTGACTGCTCTGGTTTATCTTGTCTTCTAGCTCTTTATGTAGTTTCAACATATTCTACTCGATTTGTGTAATTCTGGCTTCCATCCTCTTCTTCTTCAAACGGGTGTTATGCGGATGAGGTGTGTCCAATGCTTGAGGTGGTGTATCCGATATTTGCTCCTTTTGATGAGACATGTTTATGTTAGTTAATGCGAATGTAAAGAAAAATGACAAAATGCAAAATATGTCTAGATGCATAATGCATGCAATGTTCGAGGCATTAATCCAAAAATGTGTCTGTTATTAGAAATAATCCTTATTGGGGACAAAAGTGTTTTATCTTTTAAGAGACAAAAAATATTCTGACAGCTTCTGACATGTTGACTAGTCTTCCGCCTTCATCCGTCACCGATTGAATAACCTGTCGAACCGCTCTGGCTTCTCTGGATGAACCGTGCAAATGACGAGTCGTTTGCCCCAAAAAAAGTCTCGAAGGACTGCACCTCCGGCATTTATCTTTTGTTGAGTCTGTTTCCAATGAATACGTCATTGGAGCCCTTAATTGATAGGACTTATGTGAAGTTCATTTGTCTGTTTCTTGAATTCGTCAGCAATGGTCTCCAATTTCAGTTATCGTTTTGCCATTGTCGTCTTTGAAGTGACTCCTAATATCAATGGCCTTCATATTGCCCCTGCAACCTCTGCCAGTAAGTTCTTCAAAGATAGGATTTCATTATGCTTGATGTAGACCCGGTTCATTCTGAGTCGTTTATAATGCACCAGAGTGATATACTCTTCAATTGTGGGTACCACGTCTTCTGGATTGAATATGACACATAGTCGCCATGTAGACTGTCCTCTGTATTTTCATCTCTTGTATTACAACCCCTTTGTCCATTAATGCAGATTATTCATGTTTAACAAACACATTTTTGGTAGATCAACACCTCTTTTAAATGATGCAAGTGATGAAAATAAAAGAAAAGAAAACATAAATGAAAAGGGTTAGTGAGATAAATCAAAATAATAAAAATAAAAAATCCTACCCCACATGATATCTACCCCACATGCTTTAATTCAAACAAATCCTAACCGCATATTTATCTAGTTCGCATGCTTTGAACAGAAAGTAAAGCAGGAAATAAAATCAAAGTAGCATAGGGTTTGGAATAAGGTTTTGGGGTGGGCTCTAATTCCCTGTACTCTCTCGGTTTATGTTCTAAAAAGGTACTCGAGTTCTTCTTGTCGGTGCCCCCTTAGGCTTGTCAGACCCTTATTCCTAAGCCTATTACAAGCTTATGTGGACTAAGTTAAACTCGAGAGGATACATTCCCTTATGCCCGCACGGTGAATAAATTCACACGAAGACATAAGGTATATGAATCCTGAAGGTTACTTGCTAGGCCCGCACGGTGAATAAATTCACACGAAAGCATCGCTTTCACTCCCACTTAAAAGGGGCTAGAGATGAAAACTTTGAAAAATCTGAAATCATTAAAAAACGTTAGTACAACTATTTATTTGAAAAATAATCAAAGGTAAATAGTTGGAATCGAATAAATAAATTTAAATTTACCATTTTCGCATAAAAAGATAACCGAAAATTAATTTCGGCCTGACTCACTTACCTGTCCCCAGTGGAGTCGCCAAGCTGTCGGAACCGCCTTTCGGTTAGGCCCGGAATTGGGCTTCGACTTGAATAATTGTTAGAGTCGCCACCGACCACTTTAAAATGAATTTAGGTGGGTTGGACACCATCTTACCTGATCTGCGTTGTACCAGAAACTTATCGGGTTCGGAAGTCGGTTACGGTCAAGGAAGGATTAGCACTCTTGAACCGCCCTTTCGGTACCAATTAATTTATCGATTGTCTTTAATTGTGAAAATTTAAAACTTAAATTAAAATTCAAAAACCCGATTCCAATTGCTTACCTTTGATCGATTGAAATTATTACTGAAAAAGGCAAAAAGAATGTTAGATAGGAAAATAAGTAAAAAAAAATAAATAAATGAAAAGATAAAAAAGGAAAAAATAAAATAAAAATAATAGTAATATAAAGAAAATAAATCAAAGGAAAAATAATAATAAAAATAAAAATAAATAAAACAAAGAAATTAAAATTAAATAAATAAGAAAAAATTATTTAAAAAGTAATAAAATGGAAACAATATGAAGTAAAAATAAATAATTCTAATAATAATTAAAAAATTAAATAATAAAATAAAATAAGAATTTAGAGGTCAAATTGCAAAATACGTAAAATATAAATGGGAACCAAATTGAATCAATTGAAAATCCAGTGGCCAAATTACACATGGTGATTGAAATGAATTACGACTCAAAATATTAAGGACGACGAAAAGGATTTAAAAATCCTATATTTGCAACCCCAGTCCCTCGTATATAAATGGGCATAAAGACCCATTCCCACTCATTTCTCACCATTTTCACTCAAGCTTCTTCTTCTCCAAACAAGAGAAGCTCTCGACCAGCCCCTCCCCTGGCGAAAACCGGCCTCCGCCTGGTGACCCGTTCCACCATGCAGCCGTCGCTCCGGCCGCCATCGCCGGCTGCCGGACAACCCCCAAAACCTCTCCAAATATGCTTCTCGTCACCCCGAATACAAAACCAAGACCCAAATCGCCTAAAACTATCCCGAACTAAGTAGATCTAGCGCGGAAGGTTTGTCCTTTTTACCTTCTTCGTCGGTGACCGTCCATTTTCCGATGAGAGGCCTTTGGCCGTTTATGTCTTTGCTGCCTTTGGTTTTTTTAGTGGTTGTATTTGTTTTTTTTTCACTTTTTTCGTGTTGCTTTAATGAGGTTTTCTGTTTTGTTGGGTACGATGGTTTTGTGGTTATGCCTATGTTGGCTTTTTGTGTTTCTCGATGTTTCATCGTGGTGTTGATGGTGGTTATGTGTTGTTTTGGGCTCGATGATGTTCTCCTGATCTTGTGGCCTGACTTTCGTTTGTTAGCAGTGGTCTCCCCTGTTGGCCTCACTGGGGGCTTTTTATAGCCCCGGTGTTGGTTGTTTGGCTCCCGAAAATAACGGGATGTGGGTTGTTGCTTGTTTCGATCTTCTCGTTCGTGGTACCGGCCGCCTCGGGATGGTTCAGTCCCGTTGGTGCGACCGAAATGTGCGCTGGGCGTTGACTGCTTGGCTCTATGCTTCTGTAACCTCCTATGCGACGTTGTGACAAGACTGATATTAGGGTTGTAAAAACGCTAAACCTAACCGAGCTGGATCAGGCCCAATATTGAACCCTGGACTTGGACAGATTAAACCCCGTTTAGACCCTAACAAAAATAAATTAAATTAAATTACATTAGATTAATAAAATGAAATAAAATAAAATAAATATTAATAATAATATAGATTATATAATATATGTTTCAAAAAAAATTTAAACTATATATTATATTTAAAAACGTTTTTCAAAACTATATATTATATAGTTTTCAAAAATGATTTTAAAAATATTATATAAGCTTTCCAAAATGTTTTTTTAAAACTATATATTATATAAATTTTCCAAAAATGTTATTTTAAAAACTAAATATTATAGTTTCAAAATGATTTCAAAACTATATTTTATATAATTTTCAAAATGTTTTAAAACTTACATATTGTATATAAATTTTTAAAAAAACATTTTAAAAAACTATATAATATACATTTCAAAAAATATTTTTTGAAAACTATATACTATATTTTTTGAAAAACATTTTCAAAAATTATACTATATTATTATAATAAAAATAAATAAATAAAAATCTCAAATTCAGACAAAAATGAGTGTCTACATTATGTAAGTGTAATACAAAAATTAAGAAAAATAAGTATCCAAATTATACCTATATTTTTTTTTAAATATTCTTTAGGCCCTCTTTTACCAAATCGAAAAAAGCTATAAATTTCACGTACATATTAGACATTAATCATATAATATGGTGGCTACTTTATGTGAGGACGTTGACGTAAAATATACACTTGGTTACAACAAAGGCGAGAATTTCTGGGGATTTTGGTACCAAAGAAAGAGAGCATTTTTTAATGCTTTCAAGTATTTGATCACTGCTGCTAGTCAACCACATCACTGCTGAAAAGCTCGAACTCTTTGGCATCAAGAATCAGTTTCCTGATGGAAGAAAATGTGCCCATGATCCCCACACCCGTGAACACAAAGATGATGGACATGTTGACCCAGTAGGTGAGGGTTGACCTTGAGGGCTTGAAAGTCATGTTGTAGAGAAGCATGGGGAGGATGAAATCCAGCGGTATGAATCCCATGGCGCCGACTACGCCGCTTATGTCGCCGAAGAACGGGAGCATTGCCGCCATGAACCCGCAGAATATCACATACAATGACCGGAGAATTAGCCTCGGTATAAGGTTCCTTTTCGAGAACTTACCTTGCTTCACATCAGCTGATTGTTTTTCCATGATTTCATAAGCAACTTGCGAATAAACCTATAGTTTTGTATTGGACAAAGAATGTGACCTCAATGCAACTTAAGGCCAAGAACGGTACATGGACTGAAAGAATGGCTTACCAAGCCAATAGCAAGGAGTTGCAGGAGAACGAAGATAACTGCAAGGCCAAGAACAGCGGTTGGAGCCAGGGCAGGTCCTTCATCTGGCATCAAGCCCTTAAGAATGTTCGAGTTAGATTCGTTGCCGAATACCCAGTATCCGGAGACCGCAACCGAGTAGAATGTAAGGAACGCTACGGCGTAACACACCAGCAGTCCTTTTACCATCTTGCCTGTAGCAGGTGGAGACAAAGTAGCCTATAACAAACAAGAATGTGTTCAGATGAAAAGCAAGGAGAGCGTTCATATCAAATATGAGAATTCATGTAAGACTCGAAATTACTTGTATTTCGGGAAGTATCCCATTCCCGAAAATTGCAGCGATTATGGACATGGAAATGAAGGCACTAAACACCCTTGATGAACTTGAAGGTTCCAAGGAGTAGTCCTTATGGGGGGCATTTTTGGATAGACCTGCATGTCAACACCAATAATAAAATGAAGAGAGATCTGCACATAAAAGAATGGTAGAAACTATTATGTCTTTAACACAAAAGGCAGAAATCAAACAACAATAGAATGGAGTAAATTTACATTTTGACACTTCATAAGTAACAATATCCTTAAGATATCTACTTGTTTGACATTAGCTCCTCCTTTCAGTAAATTGACCATTACAAGTGAGTTTGTCCTCTGCTTCTATTTGGAGTCCCAATAAGTTCAAAGTTCAAGTGCTTTCTTAAGAAAGAAGTAACATGTTATCAAATGTCTACCATTGCTAGGGCCTGGATTAAACCTGATGTTAAAAGGTTCACAGCAATCAGCATTGAATACCGACATGCTTGTCGGTACGAAATCTAAACTAGTCAAATTATCTTCTTTCTTCTTCAAGCAAGAGAGATGGCATTCCATATAGAGCATTTTAATGATATAATAAAAATACAGACATCGTCTGGCAAAATGAGAACACCGTCTGCCATATAATCATGTCCAATTTTCTTTTCTTCCAGGATACTACATGGATAAGAGGGTATAAACCAATATTTGAAAGCAGGTGAATGATTTGTGTACCTGCATGAATACAAGCACCAACCACAAGGAAACTGTACCCCAAGCAGAGAAGAAGAGAAGCAAAATTGATATGTCTGAGGGAGTGGAAGGAAGGAAGTTGGGAGAGAAATATCATCACCACTGTCACCATAGCTATAAACTCATAAAGCTTCAACGATCCATTTGGAGAAAGGTTTTCATACATGATCTTTCCACAAACCAAAACAAACCAAGTCACAACCAGTCAAGAAGAGCAATACATGCTAATGAGTAATAACCAAGAGTTGCAGACCAAATTTTTTACTCAAAGCTATTCTTCTGATTCTAACATTTATAGCTCAACATACAAGTCACCATCATCAGACTGGAGCTAGCCACTGGACCATACTAGAAGATGGATCATAAATGATTTGTAAGTTACCTTTTATCTGTCCTTGAAAAATACATTATCTTGAACATTGAAACATAGAAAGATAAAACTTGCCGTCATGTGTCATATTCAGACTTCAAAACTTTTAAATGGAATTAATAGCTGATGGAAAGATCATACCTTAAGGCATTCCCCTGCAAGCAAAATTGCTCCTATTCCAACCCCCGTATTTATAGCAGTTTGGATGAATATGACGAAATAATACATCCCACCAGACCCTGCATGAAAAATTAGCATTTACTTAACATTTCAGACATGCTAAACACACATAAAATTAACTAACACACTGTTAATCTTTATGCTAAATGAACATATTATATACTTTCAAAAACTCTTTGAGACTTACCACCCAAACCTAAGATCACGTGTATATCAAGAGACTTGCCAAAAATCGAAAGGGAAAATAGTCGACCTTTTCTTTTCCTTCTAGGAATGATCGAGGGACTTTAAATATGGCTATAAGACAGTAACAGTTTTCCATAATTATTAATTAATAAGTTGCCCTATTTATATGGTGGTGGCTACCTAAAACGTCAGCGGCGAGTTCACGGAAACGGATATGGCGGCGGCCAGCTTTTTCGCAGTGCTCGAGCACCCTGGACATGAGATAGTAGGAGTAGAAGGTGACACATCCCAAGACCGTCAAGCACAAGAAACCCAGTCCCCAACCCAATCCCCTGAAGGCGTACGGCAGCGTCAGAATCGTGGGCCCAACGATCGCCGTTGTCAGATGAAACCCAGCGTGCCACCACTTCCCTGCGAGAAAAAAAAGACCCAAGAAATAAATTTGCTTATATACGATACACTGCTTGGCCGGGTGATCATATTTTTATAAACATGTCGTGCTTCCGATTCTTCACCTTTTGATTCAAGAACGAAGGCTGCTCCGGCGTCGGATTCCAGTCGGGAATCCGGGAAATTATCTCGTACAGGAGGGTCCGCCATCGACGGAGCCCAAGTTTAGCGTAAGATTGAAGTAAGAGAAGAGAAGAAAAGGGTGAGAATACGTTCTTTGAATACAACGAATGGTGGCGGCAGCAGCTAAGCTCGGCCGCAGATGCCTTTAAAAACTAAAAAGAATCAACTATATCTATACTACTATTTTGTATTAACATCAAGGTACTATTATATTCTGAATATCAATAAATAATGAAATGAACAATGTCCGAGGGATGTGAAATTACTATACAGTCATCACAAGTACGAAGTTGAAGATGAATACGGACAGGGGTTATTTGGTCATTCGGAATGAATTATTGGAAGGGTTATTTTCACTTGTATGAATTACGTTACCCAAGGAGAAAATAAAGAAAGAAACCTAATAGTAGCTGCTGTGCTTATTACTCCTTGCATCTTGTTTCAATCAATATTATACACAATTATACAACTGTTAAATCGACTAAAGTACAATAAACGAAATGTATTAAATAATCTCAATAATTAAAAAATATTATTTTTCGTACATGTCTCGAGTTCGAACAAGTTTATATGTAAAGTATATGTGTTATTAATCGTTAAAAGTTATTATGAATATATACTATTTTATAATCATTTAAAACTATTAAAAAATACAAATAAACATATTAATAATAGAAATATATCTGATCTAAGACAGCAATAATCTGAATATAACATACATAATAAAAATTAACTCAAAATAAAATCTAAAGATAGACATTTAAATGTGATAAAAATGTAGACCGTCTTTTTTCACATCAATAAAAAATGTCATATTAAAATATTTTATTTTTTAATAAAAATATGGAGATTTATTTGTATCACTCTAAAGGGCCTGAGGATAGTCAGAGCCGAACACAAATCGATCATTACGACCTAGAGCGGATACAATTAGAGACGAACATATGAATTTATATTAAGAAATTCGAACCTAAAAGATTATATTAAAAATTTTAAGAAATATGAAACTAAAATTTTGAGGGTGTTAAGTTAGATAATTAATACAAAATAAAATAATATATAAGAAAATTTCAAATTTTCCGAAGGTGCAACATCCCCCCCAACAACCTTTTTGATCCATCCCTATGACAACCTTATTTGCAGACCAAGAGATGTAATTGAAAAAGATAAAATTCTATTCTACCTCTTCTAAAAGATGTTAAATATTTAACATCTCTTCAAAAGTTGTCACTTATCACATTACATCTGATAGACTCATATAATTTATCAAAATCAAAATTATCACAAAACTGATCATATCCACCTATCATATAAGTTTATTGGTAACCATAACAATCTTAAACCTGACAAAAGATCTTTTCTATTTTCTGATGGAGATAAAATATCGGGATACCAACTAAAATCGTTTCGTCACAATCTACGACTCTCCACTTAAACTATAAAGACGATAGTGTAAAACATAATCAATCATGATTTTATAATAATGACAGATAACCCTAAAAGACTAATCAATAATTTTAGGATTTTTAATTTTGAAATGAATATTCGACTTTTCTCTAAAATAATTTGATTAATTAGATGGATTGAGTAATAAATTTTCCATACTTATTAGGGCAAATTAACTATCTGGTCACTCATTTATTACTTAATCTCTGTTTTAGTCACTCATCTATTATTGTTTCTAAAAGCATATATAATGTTACGCTTTATTTCTATTTTAGTCATCCACCATTAAATAAATTAACGATGATGTTAACTTTTCATTTTTAATTATTTTTCAATATTGACGTGACAAAATATTATGGTGTCACATCAACATCACTGTTAATTTTTCAACATCGGATGATCAAAATAGGAACAAAACGTAATGTACAAATGTTAGATATGATTTTGAAAAAATAATAATTGAGTGACCAAAGAAAAAACTAAGTAATAAGTGTGTGACCAAATAAATAGTCTACTCTAATTAGTAATTAATAAGTTGCCCAACTTCTACGCTTTTCAGAATCATATAACAACCGATAATTTTGAAAATTATATATATAATGTTTAGTACTTATTATCACTTTTATTCTGTTTTGGTCACACAATTATTTTTTTTAAATTATACATAACGTTACATTTTGATTTTCTTTTGACCATACGTCAAAAAATTAATGGTGATCCTGGTGTGTCACCGTAAAATAATGACATGTCTCATTAAAAAATAAAATATATCATGCCAGCAGTTTTATTAATTTTTTAACAGTATGTAGTCAAAATATATCGTTAGACATGATTTTGAAAAAATATAGTTTGATGACTAAAATAGAATAAACGTGATAGGTAAAGTACTAAATGCATAGTTTATCCAAAAACTAATAATAGCTGGTTTGGCTAAAAATGGAATACATTAAGCACTAGATTGTTCGTCTCTAACGGCAACAGCTACAACCACGGGAGGGGGAGACAAGAGCTATTCTTTTTCTTTTTTTTATAATTACTTGTATCTGATTTATTAATCAATTAAATCGAATGAGATACCCTAGAAACAAGAGGGAGACAAGAACTATACTTGCAAATAAGTTTATCACAACTCATTTCGTATGTCTGTAGTTACATTTTGTTCCCTTCTAACAAATTTCAAACGGACCTCCCAATCTTCTTAAATAAATCGTAAAATATTGTCCATGAGTTAACTAAAATGTTACTTTTTTTCATAATATTTTTAGTTGAACCTAAAATATTATGTTGTTTATAATATTTTAGATTGTGTATTTCCTTAACATTATATTAAATTGTTGTATCATAACTATTCACTTTTAACCACTTGAGACAAGGTCTTCTCCACTTTGATTCAGCTGATTCTCATGTCAACATGTAGTTTACTTGTCCAAGTTGGGGAGAATAGCACCACAAGATTTTTCTCCATAGTCTTAAACCATCCTCCATAGTCTCCGTTTTTTCCCCATATGGGGACTGCTGAAAATGAATTTGTTTTTGCTTCTTTAAAAGTTCTAACAAAGATAACAAAGAATAAATAATAAGCAATTTCAATAATCTTCTAAAAAAAAATCACCTGAACGATTCATGTTTGTTACTAACTAGCGATGGACCTAGACCGGCGGTGTGGGGGCAATTGTCCCTACAATTCTAAAATTATTATATATTTTAGATTTTTTCTATAGAAAATTTGTTTTCGTCTCCTAAAATTTTATAAGTTAAGGTTTGTCCTCCTAAAATTTTATAAGTTTAAGTTCACGACAAATAACTTAAAATCATACCTGATTTCACATTCTTTTGTTGCTACACATTTTCCAAGGATATGATCAAAGCCTTCATCACGATTCATATAAATTACGCAGATATGTTTTCTTTCCTTGAAAATTTTAAATTTTCATATAATTTAAATAAAAATTTAAATTTAAATTATATGAAAATTTAAAATTTCCAAGGAGGTAACACCTCGATTTATCTCTAAATGCACTCCATATAATTATAATTAAAATAAATCGATATCATAGTCAATTATATATATATACATGTTATGAAAATCAACTAAAAGTAAAAATAAGTAGATTAATAGTAAAAGTATAATTAAACTAATTCTCTTTATCTTTTATTGTTTTCGTACCAAAGATTTTTAAAGGTTAATTCATCATCTCTTGATGGTTTTCAGTTGATCGATCAAATCTAACAAACTATTTTACGATTTTTTGATGATATTGTGTAAATTATTTTTTACTTGTTTGATACACTATAATTAATTTTATATAAAATAATTTACGTAAAATGAATTAGTTGAAAATTAATTTATCTAAAATGAATTATTGTAAAAAGTTTCCAAAAAATACTCTACGGTGTTTGGATAATGCAATGTAAGTCATTTCTAGTTGATAGATTTTTATATTATAAATATCAAATATAACAAATTGTTATTTTTTAAATATTAGATTAATTTAGTCAATATTATTATTAAAATATTATTAACAAATATTTTAATAATTAATATGTTAATTAAAATAATACTAGAATATCATATTAATAATAAATAATATTCTCTTTATTAATTATTCAAAAAATATTTCTAATAAAAATATTAAATAGTATTAATTATATTCGTGATCTATTATATAATTGATTATATAATAATATAATATTATTAAAATTATATTATGTATATATTTTAAATATTTTAATAATTAATATTTTCATTAAAATAATATTAAAATATTATATTAATATTAAATAAATAAAAAATAATATTATTTTGAGTGCTTATACTTTGAAGTGAAAAGTTAGAAAAATATTTTATGGAAAATAAGATGGCAACACATTTTATAAAAATACAAAGAAATTAGAAAAATGGATTTCATTTAGGAAAATCAATTACAACTATTAAACACTGGAAAATATTTTCCTTAAAACCAATTACAACTATCAAACACTGAAAACATTTTTCAGCTACCAAACACAAAAATGAGAAAAATATTTTTTGAAAAATGTTTTCCAGCTATCAAACACTCTAAGACAACAATAATATAAATATAATCCATACACAATAAAAATTAACTCGAAATAAATTCTAGACATTCGTAGTTTAAACACGGAAAATTTTAAATTATCTTTTTTTATAACCATCGATATTCAATCTATTAGTCGAAATCTGGATCGGGTATTGCAGAGGTGAAAACGATAATTCTAACTCAGTTTGTCCCATTTGTAAATGTCAAAATTCGAATATCTAATCTTATTTAGAGGATTTAATGTCTCATTCCATTAAACTAACTGATTGTTGGTAAATTATATTTTTAGTTCACATAAATAATTTTGTTTTCATACTAAAATATTATAATTTTTTAAAAGAATATAAAAAAATTATTTTCCAAAAGAGGATGTAATTGGAAAAGATACAAAGATGTTTAGATGAAAGAAGTTTGAAATGGCTAGGAAAAAATCACTTTCAACTATAATATCATTGTGCCCTTTGTTTCGGCAGAGCTTTAAGGCTTCGATGATCGCTTGTACCTCTATGTAAATGATATAAAATATATTAAGTTCGACTCAAATTTTTAACGAGTCAAAACGAATTATTTGATGTTCAATTCAAAAAGTTTGCGAGTAATTCGAAAAAAATAATATATATTAATTTTTTAGACTTTTTGATTAAATTATTAATAATATTAATATTTATAT